AGTTTTGCTTTATTAATTCGTGTTATTCAACAAAAACGTCGACTACATCAACGTATTCAATGGCGTAAACAACGTAAAATGACTATTCAATTAGTATCATTATCTATACTAAATATTATATTTAATATTCCACTTAATATTGTATCACTTGCTCATCTATGTGGTTTACCAGCATCTTATGGTGTTGAAGCACAACAATACTTTTATTTTTCTTGTTATTTTTTAATCTTTCTTTTTCCTTTTGTTTGTTTATTTTCTTATACAGAATTGTATAAGAAAATCAAGCTAAAATTTTTATATCACGTAAAGCGATCAAATAATGTTGTTGCGCCTATTGTTAATATCTCCGATGAAAAAAATTGATAGTATTGTTTTCATTTTTTTTTAAATAAAAATTGCAATCGGTTGATTATTATCACAGAATGCGGATTTAGAAAATCGGAAGAGGAAAAATTCAACTTTTAATACTTGTCCACTTCAATATATTGATTCAGATAGATTCTTAAAATGGTTCTTATCCATGAAATGGAATGTCACACGTAGATTTGTTTGTAATGTCAATAATCAAGACTAATTTACATATTAGGAATTGTCTCTAAGAGATTACAAATATAAGATCAATGTAAATATTATCATTCTCTATTCCACCGGATATAAATGCAGCTGATATGGATCAAACATATGACGTACATCAATTTTGTTTTTCTGACGTGAATTTTTTCTATTATTTCCGCTACTTCTCTCGTAACTTAACAGGAGTTAATTCATAGAAAGTACAAAGTTTTGTGATCGAGTTGTACGTAAATAATCATTTTATCAAAGTAATTAATGTTCTCAATTATTCATTGAAGGTAAATATTCATATATAGTTTGATATTTGTGGGCGAGTTTTTTTTCCTGTTAATTTGATTCAACACATTCATTATTGACATATTTAACCTACTAGATCACTGAAATAGGATGAATACGCGTGTTTTCGAAGAATGAAAAAGTTCTTTATTTAGCAGGTATTAATAAAATACAAGAAATACGAAATAGAACACTAATTCAATCGTAGTAAAGCAAAGGTTTAAATATGTGTATGTATATATATTTTTTTTTCAATAGTTGTCGTATCTTATGATGTTTTGACTTCAGTCTCGACAGTACTACTACTGTTACTTGTTACATCAGCAGATATAGACGTGACAGGAGCTTCGACAACCGTTTTAGTTACATCAGAAGCACTAAAAAAATACATCAAACTATGAATGTAATCTTTTAATAAACAGACACCTACGTTGGAACTATATCAACCGTAGTTGTACTTGCTGCTGTTGGAACAAGTACTAATTCTCCTGGACTAAATTTCGAAAATATAATTTTTTATTTTAAATAATTATAGTTTACCTTCTAATTGCTACTTGTAATTGATTATCAGCAATAGGTGTAACTGGTGTAGTAACGACTGTTTCTGTTGCATGTGCTTGAGATGTAATAACTGTAGTAGTTGTTGATTGCAATATATTTTCTGTTTCGTGTTGACCTGTTATTGCAACTTGATTAGTGAGATTATCGATATTTTGTTTAGCTTGTTCTTGTGCTTCAACTAGAACAGTTAATTTAGCTAAATTAGCTTGATCATTGACTAGATCAATTTGTTTTTTTGCATCATCCATAATTGATTGTTGTTTTGCTTGTAAATCACGTTCTAAATCAGCGAGTGATTTAGCTTTAACAGCATCTAATGCTTCAATAGCTTTTTGTAACTGAATTTTATATTCATTATCAATTACTAAATGACGACGATTTGCATTAGTTAATAATTCTTCTTGTTGATGTTGAGTATTTTCAAGTACACCAATAATTGATTTTTTAACCTGTTAAAATAATGTAAAAAGAAACGAGAAAATAGTAGATAAATGAATTTACTTGTTCATTAATTTCAGCAGTACGACTGTGAGAATATTCATCAATGTGTGCATAAGCAGCATTTAATTTTGTTAATAATGCTTCAGTATTTAATTTCATGTTAATTGATGCATTTGCTTGTGTTTCAGATGATATAACTGATTTTATTTGAACATCATCAGAAGCAACTGATGTATGAAGACATTCACTACTAGTAGCACTATGTTGTGCGACAGTTTCTGTCGTATTTTGTTGTTCTGAGTCAGGATAAGTACCGAATAGAGCATTGATAATAGCAGCCATTATTTAAAGAAATTTTGAATCTAAAACAAAATAGTAATCTCTTTGATCTATCGCCCAGATAAATTTTCGCATTAGAAAAAGAATAATCACAGCATTATAGGTTAGAGGGTATTCTTATAGCCTTTTTATGTATATTTTTGTGCGTAATATGTTCTAACTTATCTTGATCGTATCAGTATTATAGACATATGTTTATTCTTTTCCTCTCCGAAAATATCTGTTGTCTGTACAAAATATCAAGGAAATGCTGACGTAAATTAGTACCACTATCATTATTCAAACATGTTATAAGAACGACGGATATTTGATCTGTATGAGGGACTTGTTGACACGCGGATAGATCGCCTCCTACGATCATATAAACAATAAAGGTTAGAACACTGACGTAGAAAAGGAAAACAAATACGCTTATTTTCTAACAAATACTTGATATGATTTATTATCGGAGATATTCGTTAAAGACATGTCCTGAATTACATAAGCCATTCTTCTTAACACTACACATGTTATTTTTATTAATAAACTGTAGGAAAATAAACTTAGTACAAAATATTGTTATGATATAATCTCTTATATTTTCATTTATCATTTCTTGAGTCTTGCTTGTTTATCTCAGCTAGAGTATTATAGAAACAACTTTTTTCTTCGTTTGATAAGTTCTAAACATGCCAATGATTCATATAAACATATTTCTAATTTTTTTTCATAAAATTTATATAACCCTTAAAAACTAAATTTAATTCAACGTCAAATATCTCTATTAACACATATGCTTCGTCTTACAAAAGAGGATTTTAATTGAAAAGTTTAAATTTATATATTTTTGTTTATTTCGAATGAATTCAAGTTGATCTACCTCGGTGGATATTGTTTAATATATTTTGTATTAACAGTGATAAAATCATTGAGGTTTTGTTAATAAAAAGAAAGCGTGTAATAACATGAAACTATAGAATATAATATTTCTATTTTCTTTCTCTTTACAGTTATATAATTTTAATAAAATTTTACGGAACAAAACATTCTTTTAACCCTTAGATAAAAGTAGCCTTGTTTTTTTGAACAAGTACTTGATAATTGTATATGCATGATTCACTTATACTTATACAAATGAGTCTTTTCTATTTCGACACTTGATCATATCTCTTCTACGTCGTAGATAAGAAAAAAAAGTATATATAAACCCTTTCATTAATATTGTACTATTTTATTTCAAGAGACAATATCTTTCCACTTCAGTGTATAATTTTATAGGAGAAATTCTAGAATAGTCTCGAAGATATTCCATAAAAACAAAAGACATCATATAGACAGACACACTTGAAGGTTTTCTTTTTCTATGGCTTTAGTACATGACCTCCATGTTCCTCAAAGTTAACATTCTTATATCTCATGTCATTTCGTTCGTACTTTTCTCTGTTCATTGAACAATATTGTCACATAATAAAGATTATATATTTAATTGCACAAAAATTTTTTTTTTGTAAAAAGACACAATTCTAATCAATCGTTGGCATCATCACGAACAGTATATTATATGTAATGTACTACGACTAACATAGGGATTATTGATCTTATATATATATATATTCTTTCACGCTCGTATTAATTGATAAAAACATCACTTAGTAGATCGATAGAACACACATCGTGTATATAATTCAATTTTTTTGTAATTGATCTAGCGACATTCTTATCTATCCGACTAATCATATTTCTGAAAATCTCAGATTGATCATTTAAAAAGGTCGTTCGTGTAAACATATTTATTGCGAGTTGGTGATTGAATATAAAAATAAATTCTAATTTTTTAGTACATTGACGAATTTAAATACAATTTTTCAATTTTATTCTTCTCTAAATGTTCTACTTTGTATAATGTTTGACTTATATACGAGATATATGACAAGTAATGTCATATTTTTATGACATGTTCAAAGACTATGAAATGTTTTCGGTTATATCAAGTCAAGAAAACAAAGAATATAAATGATCCGGTTCATAGAACATTCGACATTCTATCAAAAATATGTATTTGATTTAAATTTTATTCATTTCTTAGTTCTTTATCCAATGTACTAGTTTCTTTTTATTTTGAGAGACACTTCTATGTTGCTATGTCAAGTGGCATAAACGTAATTATAGTTGCTTCGATGATAATATTTGTAACGCGTAGGTCTTGTGAGAACAGATAGAACTTTTGCAATGAAAACTTGGTAAGACAAAATGATTCCTTGTTTCCTCTGTAGTTTTTCAATGAGTTGTTCCATTTAATTGAAATTTGTTCAGAGAATGTTAAATAAAAATTTAAGGCAAAATATACATATAGAATACATTAATCAGGAATTTATATGAAAAAGATTTCGAGTCACACATAGTGTCATTCATCTAGATATTGGTTGATACGATATATTATAAATAATCATGTCTGAAACAAACACAAACAGATTATGTCAAAACAATAATTTTAAGTCGTAGTTCTACTAAGACACAAGGATGAAATAATAAACTTAATTGTTTTTGTGAACTCATAGAGTGAGTACACACTAGAATCGGTCAGTATGTCCTTCTGTTTACACGATAACTTCTAAAAGATGAATCCGATTGTTATGAAATTTTCTACGGAGTATTATCTCCTCAGTGTCTCGGTCAAGTTCGAAAATGAGAAGAATCCGTCGAGAACTTATTGAGTTATAGCAAGAAATGTCAATATTTTCCATATTTTTTTACGGAAACACAAACTTACTCCAACTTTCTCATAGTCACCATGAAGCCGGAACTCTTATACACTATCCGATAGAGAATTTCATGGACTATAAAACAATGATAAGTTGTAGAAGTAAATAGAACTTATCAATCCGAGGTTTATACATTTATTTGAAATCAAATGAATTCAGATAATATAGGTCAATCTTCCTGCTAAAACTTTACATGCGTTACGGAAAACTATCACTCAAGTATAATTAATTTTTGAATAATTGAGCTAATTTTAGCAAGCTATGTTTATTATTAGAACCCTGAATGATCCCGATAATAGGACATTATTTTTTCGATAACAACTTGTAATCTAAATATTTTTCTATTATCATGTATTATTTTCTTCTGTTTTTTTTCTTTGACATTTAGATTGTGTTAAAGTATTTATTCAAGTACTTCTCTCGTTGTATTATGTATAATCGAACAATACATATCGATGGCAAAACAATGAATTCATTAACTCGTTATCTTAATATAAATATTAATCTTTTTTATTTAATTTTCGGAAATATTGGTAATCTACTTAAAATATGTTTTTTTCTTCAAAAACCATTACGTTCACTTCCTTGTACAATTTATATCCTATTTGCAACGATTAGTGACTTTGTTACTTTAAATAATTTACCTGTATTACAATTACTTATTCATCTTTATCCAAATTATCATTGGATTAAAGTCACTGTTGATTGGTCAAATTATGAAAATGATTCAAAATTAATTTTCTATACAGTATCAACATATGATATATTTATGTGTAAAATGCGTAGTTATTTACATATGTTAAGTACTGATCTATCATCTCAAATGCTTGTATTTGCTTCAATTAA